ATGCGGACTGTGCTCGGGCTGTCCGCTGTAAGCGTGCAGCCTGGAAGAGGCACCGCCGTAGGCAGACGACCGATTCTTTTCTTTTCTTTCGGAAAGCGAGTGCGATGGCCCGTAGGGCCATCGCACTCGCCATTACACCGATGGGTCTAAGTCTGCGGACGGTGTTGGCTACTCTGTTGTTTTTCCTGATCGCACTTATGTGTCGCTTACCTCCGGAGACTAGCATCTTTACAGCGGAGCTTTATGCTATTCTCTATGCTCTTCGTCTCCTGCTTTCTCGTTGTCAGTCTTCCTTTGTAGTTGTTGTTGACTCTCGTAGTGCCCTCATGGCTCTCGGGTCCTTTAATCCGGTTCATCCAGTAGTTGTCGAGATCCAGCATTGGCTGTTTCTTGTTCACAGTAAATTTAAGTCGGTTGAGTTTTGTTGGGTTCCCAGCCATATTGGTGTGTCTTTAAATGAGCATGCGGATGCTGCCGCCAAGGAAACTGTCCGCCCTTGTCCCATCTCTCGTAAAGGTATTCCGTATTCCGACTATTACCCGGTTGTCCATTCCTCCGTCCTTACCCGTTGGCAGGCTTCTTGGTTGTCTGTTACTGGTAACAAACTTCGTATTCTTAAATGTTGTGTTTCCTAGTGGCCGTCCTCCTACCACCGTAACCGGTGATGGGAAACAGCTCTGGCGAGGTTGCGTATTGGCCATACTCGCTTAACCCATGGTCACTTGATGGAGCGCCGCCCTGCTCCTTATTGTCCTAGTTGCATTGTCCCTCTTACGGTCGTGCATGTCCTTCTCGAATGTCCTGACTTCCAGGACGAGCGTGTGTCTTGCTTACTGACCGCCCCTCGCGGTCACCTGTCCCTCAATAGAATTCTTGGTGACTTGGATACTTTTGATATCATTCGCCTTATGCGTTTTTGTTCTCGTATTGGTATCCTTGGTGATATTTAGTGCCCTCTGATTATTCTGCGCATTTGATGGTGCTACATAGCCTTCCCGGTTTGATGCCTTCTTTTGATAATTACCTACTTACTTGCCAGAATAATGGCTTGAGCAGAGTTGCTACCCATTCACAATAAACAAGACAAATATAAGGCTGAAAATGACACTGTACACAAGATGAATGCTTGAGGCAGAAGGATTGCCCATTGGCATGAAACTGCATTGAGCTCTTCCATATTAGACCCAGCTAAAGCTTGCAAGTCCACAAACTTTTACATCTAGACAAATTAAACAAGAACTCGCACAGACTGTTTGAATGACAGCTCACACAGATCCTTCAGACAAGAGGAACCCACATATTCTTCGGATGATAAAGAACCATTAAGTCTAGCATTTATATTCAAAAGGGTTTAAGGACCACCCTGTAGTTGTAAGGTCTTTGTAAGTACTGTATACACAACATTACAAGGTTCACATTTAATGCCCTGGAGGTACTTAATTAATAGTTTCAACAGTTAATTGGCCTGAAAGGCAGCGTATCATTACTCTGCCTTGAGCTGGAGGCTTACATGATGGAATGTCATACGAGCAGTATGAATTTAATTAATAATTCAGTGCATTGGGGAACAGGCAGCCTTGTGAAGGTCCCCTCACATTGACCCAGGATTACTGACCCCGCCAAGGATGCAACCCTATAACCAGCAGACTAACTCCTGGACACCTACTTGCTGCTAGGTAAACAGAGGCATTGGGCGATAGGAAATGTGCCCAACTATTTCCCTTCCGCCCGGGATTCGAACCCGGAATTCTTGATTGTCAGTCGGGAACAAACCTGACTGTACTACCAGGACCCTTCAAAATACAGTAGTGTTCAAATTATATATATTCAAATAATATTCTAGGTATCAAATTAAGCACAAACTTCTCATAACTATGTTTATTTCCTATAATAAATTAAAAAATAAATAATAGCAATTGTATCTGGCAGACAAGAATATGGACAAGGGAAGGGAGAGATCTTAACAACAATAATTAGCTTTGTTGCCCACTAGTGTTAGTAATGCTGAAATGAAAATAGATAAGATACAAAACTTGAAGTTTAATTACTAAAATCAATACATATTATTGAATGTAGAGTACATAAAGTAAAAGAAAAAACTTACTTGTTATAAATCATTATATGTGATTCAAATTAATTGTAATTAGAGTCTAAGATCTATTTACTGGTTATTATTGTTGAAAATTAATTGATGAGCATTAGATCTACTTTTGTCTCTTTCAATGTACAGTAAACTAAAACATCTTGTGTGTGTGAAAACAATAAACAGTTAATTGTTGTTATAAAAAAAAATTCAAGACTATATATTACTAGTTTAAACTCCTAAAAACTACATTAATATTTATATATATTATTAATTTTGCTGACATTCACATGTTCCTGGATCAAACGTGCTGTTATTTATAAAATGCTCAAAATTAGTCTCCAAAACTTGAACACATTACTGTAATGATGACTATCTCGGTGCGAGAACAGCATTATGTATTAGTGTTTAAATCAATTGTATACAATACAAGTTTTTTGTGCCAAATGTGATGCACAAATTAATGGAATAGGAATAAAATAATAAAACAAAATAAATAAATGTAATAATAATACAGTATAATATGTAGTAAATATAGGTAAATGCATTGTATTAAATTAGAAGTGTACATGTATTTGTTTGAAATGCTTGTTTAAATAAAATAAAACAGTAAACAATTAAGATTCATTGTACAGTATATCTTTAAAACAAAATTCAGCCCTATGATGAGTAAAGTGCTCGATTGTATATGAAGATAACGGACAGATTTTGGAAAAATTCCCTGTATTACTGTTTCATAAGTTACCCATTATTACAAAATTTCTAATAATAAAATTCTCTCCATTCCCATGTGCCAAACAACCTTTAACCCATCAGGATGGTGTTACTCTACCAATATTCACAGGTTAAACAAATTTGTGTCTAATGCCATGTCCAGAGATTGCACAGCCATATTGATTGGTAATATTAAATACCTTTGATTGTACTACCAAAGGCAGCAATTTGCTATGCCTGTTACAAACTGTATTATGCTCTGGGACTAATACTGCACCGAAACACATCAAATTTATAATAGGAATACTGATCTTCCGCAGCCTACCCGAACATAACTGGAAGGATGCAGGTTTCTCCTCTATTCAGCACTTTCGCTTGTTTGTTTATAGAGTGTTGTGCAGAGTAACCTTTGTTGATATTTACGTGGATAATTCAATAACCCATCAACATTAGGGATGTTCAGACCTATCAGAATAGATATAACAAAAAATTTAATTTAGCTTAACACTAAAATTGGTGGACAATTTTTTCTGCAAGACGATCTTGTGCATTTATAATTGTAAGTTATAGATTATGTAAAAATTATTTTGATAGTAAAACAATACAAAATTATTAACCTTAATACTTAAATAATACAAAGAATGATTATGAAATTTTAAAGATTAATTTAAGAAATAATTTGTCCCCATGCTGAAAAACACATGTGGAGCTAAACACATGTGTTTACATAAAAAAATATATATATATTATATATATATATATATATATATATATATATATATATATATATATATATATATATATATATATATATATATATATATATATATATATATATATATATATATATATATATATATATATATATATCAAACTGAACCAATAGTTTGCAATATGATTTTTAATTTTTAAAGATCGTCTAACAGTTAATAACAGCAAATAGTAACAATGATACATGATTACTTTTTTTCATAAATTTTTTGCCTATAACTTAATATCTAATAAATTAATGAGCCTTAGTGACTGCTCCTATCTTACCTGATTATTTTACAAACATTTCTAATAACTGCAAAAATTATATTGGCAATAAATGCCTCAATCTCCATGTGTTTAAAGATAATATTCAAGATCTACATTAAAAATGTATACAATTTCTAAGAATATAATACTTGAAGCATTTTCTAAGCATTTTAATTTATGTTTAAAAGGCACTGAAAATTATACTCAAGGTTCAGCTCTGTGTTCACGATTGCTTTAAGGTTCTTTTTTTTACATATATTTACAGTAAGTTCTTTTTCCTTATCAAATCAGGAAGTTCATACATTTACATAAAAACAAACAGAAAATTGTTACCGATTTTCTTGATATAGTAACTTTAAATGTAGTCAAGAGCTGTACTCAAAATGTTTGTCAAGACAATCTTGGCATTGGTTTCAGACATTTTAACAGGTAGTGGAATGACAGACACTTGTTTAGTTGTCATAATAAAGTGTATAACAAAATTTAATCAGTTGCATATATATATTTAAAAATATTTGGTAATCTTATGAATGTACAGTACAGTACATGAATACACATGAAGCACGGTGATGTACAAAACATGTAAAGAACTGTCTTGCTGTCACTCTACTGCCTGAGGAAATGCCCTTTGGTCATTATAAGTATGAAACAGTTGCCAGCTGCTTGCACAAGAAAAAATAAAATCATGCAAGTATGATTAAGGGTCAATTCAACAGATTGAATCTTGGAAGAAAGTACTGGTATAGGAAAGTAGAGAGCGGTATGTTACATGAAGAAACAGGAACATGGCTTAAGAGGTGTCATTAGTATTGAGTGAAAGAGTACTGCTGTTAATAAAGGCACAGTAGTGTGAGTGTTGCTGAAGAAAGACACTGTTGAAAAGTATATCCTTTCTCCAACAACACTGTTTTTGTGGGCAACTATGACCAATTGATATAATACTAACATTTCCCTTCACATATTTAAACCTTCTGCCCCATTATTAATCATAAATTATCATCGGCCTGCTTCAGGTCATTCATTATTAAGCCCCATTGATGCCAAATGTTGAATTTCCCACTTGAAGGAACAAGGCAGTATATGAGGTACGGAGACTACAGTAGCTTGACTGTCCATGTGGCTACACACACACCTTCAGTCAGCATAGAGAGCAAACACACTGATCGCATGCTACATACTGTGAAAGTATGTAAAGAGGTAAATATCAATCAGTAATTCTTTGAATATTTTGTGGTTCAGTTATTTTTCTTTTTTTTTTGTGCATGCTATAATTGTTTTTAATTATTAGCTTCAGAAAAATTTAATGAAGTTTTCTTTAAATTAGTGTTACTGGATATACTTTAATCTATGCTCAGTACAATTACCTGTAGAGGCATATTATAGGTATAGGCATATTATACACTTTTACATTTGTGTTTCCAAAAAAGTAACATTTTAATTTCTGGAGCAAAAAAGTACATCTTGGTATGCATAAAGAACATTACACCTACAAGTCCATTCGTATCCAATACATTTATTTCAACATTAGGCATCAATAATTCACAAACCGCTAGATATTTCTTAACTTAATATATCATGATTTCTGTCTGGTACACAAACAGCTCATTTTCTTCCATCATTACGCATTACATTACCTGCAGATGACTGAAATCTCACAGTTTTACTGTACAAAAGATTATTACATAATGCCCTCACAAGTTGCCAGTAAATATTACAAGATTCTTTTCTTCACATAACTGGAAAATCATCTTATTACCATATACTGGCTTAGAAGCTGCAATAACAAGTCTCCATTAAAGGCACTCATAAGGCAACATGGACCGTGCATTACAGATACATGTGATGTTTCTGACTAGATGAACTATTAGGTAGCCAGTGACGGTGATGGACACCATCAACCTCTTGCTGAATAATGTAATGTACCATTATTTGAATTGTTTTTCAATTTATCTTAAATTATTTTACAGTAATAATTCACCAATATTTTGAGTTACATATACTGTAATACCTTTTGAATGTTCTAATCTCATTAAAAATGTGTAATATGGCAATTTTGGCTACCTTTATAGATTAATACTCCCATGACTTTTCACAAAGTAAGAATGTGCTTAACACACACAAGTCCGTCCACATGTATTTAATGCTTCTGATATTTTAACCTTATAACTATGCAACAAAGCATTTTGTATATTTTACAAATGCTGTGTTTCATGACAAAATTATAGAAATCTTGACAGCTTCTTAGCTAAGAAAGGTTACAACACACATTCATTCTAGATAAAGAATTAAATATCGTTTAATAAATAAAGTCACTGCATGTGGTATTCTTCATGGTAATTTGTATATTTTAAATAATGCTTTACTCAGTACTATATATTTAACATATTGCTGATTATTATAAACTAAACACTATATTAAAATAACATTTGTGCAATATCTAATTGTAGAATGTAGTGTTTAAATACTATTTCAAAGAGTAAATTTTGAAGCAATAAGTCAAAGGTTAGATTTAAGATGGATGACATTGGCAATTTCACATTTCTTGGAAGGTATTTGTCAGTTAAGAATTTAGCTAACATGTGTCGTCTTAGGCCACACATTGTGAGCAATATATGGCACAGACATGATATTAATGCAGAGATTCTGACTAGATGTTGCAGAATGTTGCTTGACGTGTCTTCTATACATCTCAGATAAAATGAAATGTCAAGAAACCACACACACAAATATATATATATACAGTATATATTTTATAAACTTAATCCTGAAAAGGTTTTTGATGAAACCAACTAATACTTAGACAGTGAAGAAGTTCTTCCCACTGTAACATATTAATAATATTATTGCCTATCAATTAACATCCTAACTGGCTCACCTAAATATCTTAAAACCTATGACGCGCTAAGTGTAATGTGGAAATCCTCACTATCAACGATATATGTATTTGCATTTATATGCTCTCTGAGAAATTGCATACATGATGACACCCACATTTCATTGAGGAACGTCAAAAATTATAATATTTACTTCTATAGTTAACATTATATGGCATCAAAGCAAGTAAACAAGGTTAGTTAAATGAGTAAAAATTATAAATAATTAATATTAAGAAATATTCTAATAAGAAAATAATGAGGAAAATATTATTAGAAGTTGTCACTACTGTAGTTTCAGGGAAAAATTACAGCACATCAGGTATGGAATCTGATGTCATAGAAAATAAAAAAAAACTACTTACTTCATAATATCAATAATATGCAACTGAGGGACAGCATAAGAAACAATAAAATATTTTAGCTTTAGTCAAAGAAATGGAGAATGCAACTACAGTACAGACCTGATATGAGGAACAATTGGCAGATTATCATGGATGGAAATGGGCTATGGCTGCCTTAGGCGAGTCATCACAGAATACTTGGCCTCTAAATTATATTTTGCAGGCTATATTCCCTAACAAAAAATTGGAGATTGATGAAAAGAACTTAGCATTACTACAAGATTTAAACAAAAATCTTTAAAGCACTGTAACTGTATTCAATCTTACATAGCTATATGAACTTCACTTTCAACTATCTTGTACAACAGCATTCATTTAAACATTTTCATTCAAATA